CAGAAACAAGAGAAGCCTGTGGACACTTCCTCTGCTCTAGCCCACTCTAACTCGCTCTAGCTCATTCCACCTTGCTAGTATGGTTCCAGAAGGAGCTTTAATGCATGTCTGCTGACCTAACCTTTGTGGCTGATGCCGTAGGCATGAACCCCTGAAACACCTCTCTGACAGCCAATGGGTTTGATTTCATGAATCCCACAGAAATGAAGCAAGAAAATTAGCAATTCTTAATAGGTACAAGAGCAACCCTCTCTCATGGCTACAAAAGCACAGAGGAAACACAAAAATGTTCATCTCCAGTTTATCCCTGGAAGGGGCCTAACTACTCACACACTTTCCCCATTGCTGAGTGTCCATATTTCAACCAATCTGCATCTGGGTCCTGACTGCAATACTCCCCTTTGCAACACTGATGGGTCTTTGCACACCCTCAAATACTGAGAGGCACCAAGAACAATGAAAGTGACTTGTATAAACACAGAGGTCTGAGAGAAAATCGAGAGCTCAGGCCAGGCTGATTGATGAAGTTCATCTCCTAAATGAGGCCATTTTATCAAGAATGGGAAAGGTGACCGTGTTATCTAATGTGAAAACAGCAATGCAGACTCAAGGAAAACAAAGAAACAAAAGATTATGTTCCAAACAAAAGAATCAGATAAAACTCCAGAAACAGATTTTAATAAATTTGATATAAGTGATATACCTGATAGAGCTTAAAATAATGCTTATAAAGATGTCCATCAAAGTCAGAAGGAGAATGCATGAAAAAAGTGAGAATTTCAATGAAGAGATAGAAAATATTTAAAAGCACTAAACAGAAATCACAGACCTAAAGAACGCAATAATTGAACTAAAAATTGGAGACAAGTGTTCGATGGCAGATTAAATCAAGTGGAGTACAATACCAGCAAACTCAGAGACAGGAATTCATTCAATCAGACAAAAAAAGTAAAAAGAATTAAAAAGAGTGAATATACTTAAGAACCTATGAGACACCATCAAGTGGACCAATTGATGTATTAAAAGAGTCCCAAAAGGAGAATAGAAAGAGGTTAGAGGAAGGAACACAAAAGGTGCTCAAAGAAATA